GTATTTTATGTGATAGTGAAAATAGTGTCAGGCAACAATTAACTAACCTTTTTTCATCCAGTAAATAAACAATTTCCTCCATCCATCCTTATATACATTCAAGTTTTACTTTTGTTATTTCTATTGTATTTATGGTCCTATTGCTTCTTTGTTTTACTCTCATAATTGCAAACACCAACTCATCTCTATGACTGCTGTAATCGTTGTTTTTCCCTCACCATATCCTGTAAAGAGAACATTATATTCAATATTTTTAAACATGCTAGGATTTCTATACAGCACTGGAAATACTGTGTAAAGCAGACCCATGGCAATTTTCACTTGTATTATTATTGCTACCTTAGCTGTTATCATTGTTACTATTTCCATTTTATATGCTGCATGTTTTTTGAAAATTTTCTGTGTGATCGATTTTATTTATAATTTGAGGATATTAGATGCAATATTGTGATTAATGCTGAAAATTCCATTATGTATCACAAGTACTGTTTTTGGAATAAAGTAAATCATTATTATTATTATTATTATTAAATTCGATGACAGCCAATTCGTGGGTCGGATAGAAGAATGGATGGTTGAGTGGACGGTATTAGTTCATTCAGAAGCTAGGTAAAGATCTCTGCATGCTTCATGACATCTGAGGCTGAAGTGAGAAGGAAAGAGTTGAAATCGCCCACCAGCCTACTAATAAGAAGTTCGTAAAATGAGTGATTTGGCCTCATTAAAATCTTCCTTCGAACCGTCAAATATTTCAGGTAGAGTGCATAGACTGCAGGACCACACGCACATGCACACAAAAACACACCACTGTCATTCAAACATAAACATTTTGACCTCCCAGTACAAAGATCATAGTGGAGTGGAAGTGGCACGAAAAAGTTCACCTACTAAAGTCCAATTATCCAATATCCAGATCAACGCTTTAATGCACAACAGCAAGAAACACAGGTACAGGTACTCCTGACACTCGCCTCCAAACACCTGCCACTAATGTTCATTTAAAAATGAAAGATAACTGATTTCTCGTAAATAGCAAAGCAGAAGAAGATATTGAGGTTAAGAATATCGGTTGTATTCGTCTGCACTGTACAAGTCATCAAGAAACGCAGACCAACTGTTATGCACTCACCTCATAGGGAGGACAGGATAAACACTGATCTTCACATACAGTAATGTCTGACACGATCAGAAGGTCTTAACATCTTCCTTTAACACAATATGACTACAATCTATGCTGTTGGGAGGCGAATTCACTACGCAGAATTGGTATCACACTACTTATGTGGGGAGATCAGTTATGGGATATTCTCATCATTTGTTAAGTGTTTTGGAGTACAAATCACTTCAGTAGACGACTAGCTGATGGGAGGGAATTTCGTGATGGAGTGTATAATGAAACCGAGGAGGAGGAGATAAACAGTACACTAGACGATTTCGGCGATAGATACAGTGTGATGAGGGTGTGAGAACCCAAGACACAAGAAGTACGAATAGCATGGAGAAGGTTGGAGAGACTTCACTCGAAACTATTTAACGCTGGATGAGTTTGGCGTACACTTGTAAAAAGAATATCTACGTTACATGTTGATGACGCTTTCTCCATGAACACTACAATGATCTGTCATTGCATCATTACTTCATGAGATGGATGAGACTGTTTTGTTTCTCCAGTGGAGTGAAATCCCCACCTACTTGTCCTCTTACAAAAGCAATAAGCGTGACAATTGTGAACTGCTTCACATTCCTTCACCACCATTCGTCTCGATTATCCATCAATTACACATTGAAATATCACCACTAGTGGCTTTTGTCACATTTGTCTTAATCAGGCTTCCCATTGATGGAATCCCTCGATAATCTGTCATTAACTTGTTGCAGGTTTTCACGAGATGAGACTGATCATCGTACTTCAAATTACGACATAGTCATTAGTTGTCACTCTTCCCCAAAACTTGATGAAGGCGTAGAATTGAATTCATTTCAATCGACTAACACACGTTTCTTGTAAATAGGTAATGTTACCTAATTTAACGATGCATACCATTCCACTGACAGTGGAATAAGTGGAGAGTGAATAGAAGTTGAGGTGGGCTTGCTATAATTCAGTGGAATACAAATACTTCATAGTCGTTTGGTGATAGAATTAAGTAACCATGTGTCTCACTCGAGTGTTAGGTAGAGCGATGTCCTATCTGACTTACACTTCACTCATTTCATAACATCCAGCCAACAGTGCTGGTTCATTCTAGGTGACAGACAGAAAGAACAATGAGAAACACTGCACAATTGACCATCAAATAACTACCGAAATTCGAAACAACATTCAACACTGCTATGTGTTCTACAACTGGAAGTAGAAACATCTAGTCATCCATCAAATGTTAACCACCCGAATCGTAAACGTGAGCCCACTGAATGAAACTACAATTTGAAGAGGCGTGTGCAGAAATGTGTTGGTACATGATATTGAAGTATCACTTGGGAATTTATATAACACTCTCATTGAAAACAAACGCTTTCGATGTCATCCGCATGTTTTAAAGATTCGAGAACAACTGTAGGATACCAACCTCAATGCAAATAGAGTTCGCACTCATGTACAACTTGAAAACCTAATTAGATAATCAACTGATTTACCTCCAATCTCTGAACAGGAACTAAACCAATTGAAATCGATAAAGATCGGTTGTTGTCTTCAATATCTGAATGCAAAACCAAAGGTCTACACAATCCCCTAACAAAGAAACACACAGAGGAATTCAATCAAATGAAACACAATAAATAACTTCTAATAACTCGTCCAGATAAAGCAGCTGGCCTAGTCCCTATCGAGAGAAAAGAGTACATAGAGGAAATGAATGAATAACATACTGTCAGATGAAAATAAATTCCCTAAACCACCCAATGAAAACAATGAAACAGAACAGACTGCAAAACGGCTCACTGATACCCTGAAAAGGATGAAAACCGAATCGTCAATCAGTCATGAAGTTAATGATCACATTCGACCGACAGGATGAATAATACCAAGACTATACTACTTACCAAAGATACAGAAACCCGCCATCAACCCCCCATTGCGTCCAATTCTAGACATGTCACGTTCCCCATACTATTCAGTAGCTAAATGACTAGCTGATATTTTAAAACCTGTAAGAAAAGAGATGTGCCACTATTCGCTTCGTGACACCTTTCGAGTCGTCGACTATATACAAGATATCAACGTAACGAACAGTAATACGCTTTCTCTCGAAATTTAGTCACTAGTTACCAAAGTCCCACTCACAGAAACTGTCTGTCACATTTGTCAATGTATAGACAGAACCCAACCGAACATCGGATTACCGAAAACGTGTTTTAGAAAACTATGACTGATGACATCTACACTTAATGTACACTTTAAATTCAACGATGTTATTTACGGACAACAAGATGAGATGAAAATGAGATCTCCACTCGACCCATTGATAGCAGACTGATTTATTGCAAAACGTCGAGGATGGCTCACTCGAATCAACTATCGACAATTTTCAATTGTATGCTAGATTTGTGGACGACATCTTTATTGTCTGTGATGATGGTCACGGTCTTATTCAGTTTCTACAAATGTTCAACAACTCCCATTCAGCTACAAAGTTTTACTCATGAAATAGAAAACGGACTATTACTGAGATGTACGCTTAATGTACAATTCACATTCGACGATGTTATTTACAGACAAAAGGATGAGGTCGCAATGAGATCTCCACTGGGCCCATTGCTGACCTGCTCAGTGATGTCCTCAGGAGGAGAATTTCCACTTCTTCAAGAAGAACTTTCTTCGCAGCATCGCTGAGAGTAGTGTTATCCAGTCGATCGCTGATCTGCAGAGGCCCGATGGACCAGATCTGGCACCTGACCACTTCTATGAGCATATATCAGTTCACCTGTTGCTGTGGAGCAAGGTACATCGGTCAATCGATAAGCATCCTGTCAAAAGCGGTCAAAGAAGTGCAACAATCGAACATCTCGTTAACACTGGTCATTCCATCTCAACAAACGCCTCCTTCAAAGCAACCTACAAAGTGAAGAACAACCTGCGAAAGACAATACGTTACCGTCTCCCTGCATTGCAGTAACCCTAGTCGCTCAGTTAGAAGAACAAGAACTATGCATACAAAAGAAAATTATTCAGTCACTTCTACTATCACGATAACAACTCTGATGATTTGACTTCGCTCTTGCTTGTTCGCATGTCTTTCAAAATTCTTACGTAATTCCGTACTCTAATTTATTTCATTTCCACGTACACACTGAGCACAACACATTCATCAAACTATTCATGTTATTACGTACGTAACTCTTCTATAACAATCGTTTGTGACAACCAGTCACTTTTCTTACTGCCATCTAACGTAAGCACACAATCCTTCTGAACACAGATCGTATTGCATATCTCAACCAAGAGCTTACTACTCTATTTTCATGTACACACATATCCAAAACAACCATATACGTTTGCGATTGTACAGCTGTGAAAATGAATTCCCCAAAACGAGACTCTTCGCTAAACCACTGCTATTCTGTTTATTAACTATAGGAGTATCCCAAGCTTATACTGTCTCCTCCCAGTGGCATAACACCTACAACTGTTCATACCATCTGCAGTCTATGGCCTATCGAATACCATCTGCAGTCTATCGAATTCACTGTTACAATGCACACATTAGGAATGCACTATCGAGAATCAATAACACACATAGTCACTACATCAGCCTAATATATTCAAAGGTCAATGGACATGATCACACAACCAACTGCTCACATCGTCATCTCTAGTTTGTGTCGAAAATACGATCCAACTTTGAAAGCCGAATATTAAGATTACCCTACTAGGAAATGACAACACAAAGTCTATTATACGCTGACTGACTGCCTCACTCACTCACTCACTCACTCATACACTCTGTCACTCCATCACCAACGCGCGTCACTATTTCCAAGGGAGAATGGAACAAACAAAACACGATGGGATAAATATGTATTTGAGATGAAACAGTCACAGTCGACAAACACGTGAAATAGTCATCAGAGACGTCGACACTTTACCTGATGAAAAGTTAGCTCTGTGAGTTAGCTCGCCAAGTAATATTTGAGGATCGATTTTTGAATCTTCTCGCCAACACCATATTCCTTCCAACAGGCTATCATCTCCTCACCGTTCGGTGGAAATTGGTCCGGAATGCAGCCGTCTTCTCTCAGAACCTCTCTCAAATTGTACCCACTCGGCATATATATCTCATCGTGAATGTCACGCAGAATATCCTCCCAACGATCACTGTAATCCAAGTAGTATTTACCACACCACTGTGGATAAAGCAATAGTTCGCTTTCCGGCTCGAAGACTCTCAGATATGTGATGAGTCGACCGAACAGATTTTTCGATGTGTCAATAATTGTCGTCCTTGGTGAACCGGTCAAATAACCACCATGTATGTGGTAGTGGAATGGATCACTAATTATTCGACAGTACTGCTTTCGTAATTCAATCAGTTCATGAAATTTCTTGAAGAAGGGGATGCACACCGATCGGACCATCCTATCAGAAATCATGTAGGCAATCCGCGTATCTGTGAAGCCAGCGGGTACATCAAAGAAATGTTTCCTGATATCGAGTTTTCTGAGAGACTGCTTGTAACCAATCCGCTTGACAGGTCTGATCGGATGCAGAAGTTGTCGGTGTTTCGTAGCCTTACGGAAAACGATCAGTTTCGAGACCCAACGACCGGTGATCAACATCGCCTTCATCTTATCGGATTCATCTTTCACACCATACTTTTCCATCACACCACTCTCAAGTATTCTCGACGCATAGTTGTCCTTCATGAATCCGGTCGGTATGTAGCGATTCTCCTGAAAATAATTGACTACGGCGGCGATCATCACTGAGGCACATGCATTCGCCATCTCGGAGTTCAAGACATCCTTCATCTCCGAAGTACTTGCCACATTGTCCACCGTCCATCTGCCATAACACCAATGACCATCCTGACGATTATCTAAGCATGAGTCCGCAATTGACATATTTTCAGTTGTCGCTTCTTCAGGAGAGCGTGAGTCTTCACCTTGACCTGCTTCTGTCGACGTGGTCAACTCTCCAAGGAGTCCGTGGAGGATCGCAGAACTCGCCGAATTGCTTAGCCATACGCGTAGCGGTTGTGATACTCTCTCACCGAAAGACTTGTACACATAAGCAGCAGCTGTCTCAGCAAACGTCTCCCATGATTTCTTATCACCACGCGGAGAAGTAGTATCGAATCTGGGCATATCCATCTTGTCGAGAACCAACAGAAATTCATCATCTGTGACATCGCCATTAGAATCGGACTCTGGCCAGTCGACATTGACACAGCCCTTCACTTTGTCAGTCACTTCATCCACCGATGTTTCGACTTCGGCTTCACTATTTCCACTGGAATCCTGAAACAGGGAAAAGCATCAGTATATTTCATAGACATGAATGAGACAATCTGCATTTATCAGAAAAGGGAAACTGGGGTCTGTCTGGCTGTGAACACAAAGTGAAAGCTAACATTCTAGTTACCCATCGGCCACGTTGACATTCATTCCTGTGTCCTGAGAGTCTTCCATTCGATCACGGAAGTTCACTACCAAAGCCCCTTCACATTAATACTCCACAGCTATACTCATCTGATCTAAAGTTGTTTTGAATTGTAACAATGGTCCCGGAAGCTATTCACTTTCCCCTGAATTTCTCCTTACCATGAATCAGGGTCTTTGCCAAACATGACAAACATATGGCAACAAGATGGTCAGCGAACAGTCTTGTTTCGACGATTAGACCAGCAGGATGAAGAGTGTAATGACTTCATGACCTATGGAAGATACGAAAAGCCGAATTGCCACTTCGGACGGCTCCGGAAATATATGGACGCTTCACACACAGAGCCTGTTGTATGGTCAGTTCAGGAAACAGTCAACTGAGCACAACATCTCACAACTTTCATTTGTGTGAAGGCGAAATTCTCAGTCGAATTCTGCTTACTCGATAAGCAAAAATCTCCTGATTACACACGCCCTCTCTCTCTTCTGTCTCTCTACGTAACTGTATCATTTTTTTAATATCTCCACTCCATTTCCACACCATTGTGTGATTATACGCCAGTGTATGCACAACAATGGACGAACTCATCTTCCAGAGTATGTAACTCAGTGGCGTCGACCATTCGATATCTGGCTTAACCTCACTCTTCTGACAATCCAACTGATCCCTATCTGTCCACTTCAGTGGAACCACACAAGTGGATGGGACAGTGTGGAAATATTGAAGATTAATACAGCTATGTTGAGAGAAGGAGAGGATGGGCGACAGACAGGGTCAGAGACAGAGAGAGGTTAACTACGGAATCTTTCTTCGTCCAGTCGACAATGACAACAACGACAGCTGTGATAGATGAATTCACAGACGCGAAATGTTTGCCTCAATCGTGAGATTTCCTTTTCTACACACTATCAACGACAGTTCAGAAATAGAGACCAAGTGATAAGATACTCTGGAGTCAATTGATGAACGATTCTTATATCATCAATTGAAGTATGACTTGATATCTGTGTCTGTGGAGTTTCGAATAACCTCCCTGACAAGAAATACAATTCACTTCGTCATTCCAGTTGACTCAGTACAAAATCACACTGATAAGTACACTTACCTCGTCTCTTGATTCACTATCCATTCTTAGGTAACTTTACGCTCCCACACAGAAATCGTATTTAAATATCAAATAAACGTTGCACTGTTGTTTAATCGATGTCTCAAAGTAACAAAGTCTGTCGTCTATATGATTGGATGGGTTTGCTAACCAATCAATGTAGAGTGAATTTCACATGCATGCATATACACTGAATTGTGTTCATTGAAACCTGTGGTGAGACCTAGCTCGATCAATGAAGTATGTTATTTGTCTGTCTCACCTGAGACACTTGAAGGTCGTCAGTTCAATTTCACACTGGAAATGAATTGTTTATCTCGAAATTGGCAAATTAGTCTGAAGAGGTGAAAATAACATGCACGGAAAGCTACGAATCGAATGCCACCTCCGTTCTGTTAGCATTTTGTTTCTCAAGTGATCACAATTGTTCAGTATGTTTTTGTCCTTGTTCGAAGGACGACTGTTTTGTATATGATGCTGTTATATTCGAAAATAGATTTAGGCAGATATTAATTGGCTGTTGGCTAGCTGGCTTCCTATTGGTCTAAAATATAAGTTAAACTGGCAATTTTTTTATTTTGATACGGAAATTTTCAGTCAGTTTAATCTAGGGCTTACCTCAGCATAATATAACGGCGTGTTAATTTTTTTTGTGTGAGTTAAGTGTGATAGTCACACGCTATTTGGATGCATTGGTGGTGTTTAAAGCATATTGAGATGTATGAGAATGTCTAGTGGGTGAATATAAATCAACAGTAATTTCGATGCATTTATTTTAAGTCCGAAATAGGATGTATGCAATTTTGCTTACTAGGCGAATATAATTCAACTACAATTTCTAAACATTTAGTGTGTCCTTAATTGGTACATATAGATATATGTATGTGTGAACTGATCTACTTTTTTAAGTTGTCAGTTCATTGACCTGTGGGATTTGTGCATACTAGGTCAGCATAAATCAAATAAATTTACTAGGTCACGACCAGTGGTATATAAGCACTGAAATATATACTATTGTTCATTTTGATGTGGTTGTGTTCTCTGAGCTGGATGGTTGATTAATTAATTGTTTAATTATTTAATTTAGTAATTATTGAATTGATTAATTAATTGACCATCCAGCTCAGAGAACACAACCACATCAAAATCATCCACCTGACCTAGAAATCTTATCTATCATATCTATTGTTCATTTGCTTGAAATTAGCGTGTTGTGCACGTTAGGAATTGTTAAAACCATTAAGTGATGCTGCAAAGTACTCCTACTGCCTCTACTTCACGAAATGTGTCATCTTTAATGTGTGATGTAACAGCTATATTCTAAAGGATAATGCTTTGCTGTATATTTTATGCATGGATACAATTTAAGGAAGCTTTTGACGAATTTATGAAGGTACTAAGTTGTTCATTATTTCTTTGAAGGGAATCCAACACATCCTATCGGGTTGATTCAAGTAAAAAGGATCCATCTGGCCCTATGGAATATACGTTTGTCAGATTTATATGCACTTTTGGATGTAAACGTGCTCCCCGAGATGCTAGGAACATAGGGTAAGTAGACTGTGCTTGTAAATTTTTAAAATTTTAAGGTTCAAAAGTACTTTATGTCAGTCAATAATTATGGTACGGCGCAAATCCAACGTATACAGGATAACAAAGCACCAAACTGTGCATAAACCATCCATGCACAGCAAGTTTCATGTCCACCGATGTATCTAGACATCGGTTATCATCAGTAGAAATGGCAGTTGTGCAACCGTTCATTGAAAGGAATACTGATGTCCATGAAATCATGGATCTAGCACATGAGAAGTTCGGAAAAGTGCTCCTAATTAATGATATTAAAAACATGCGAGCTAAGATAAATAAACGTAAGTCGTATCAAAATAAATGGTGCAGTAGAATAGAAATTGGTAGTTTGGAAGACCTACTTCATCGACTGAGACAGACAGGTCCAGTTAGTGTTCTGCAGGACAACGCAGGCTTTGTATTTAAAGTCATTTTCGCTCGTAATGACATGATAGACCTGTATCATAAGTTTCCAGAAGTAGTTGGAATTGATTGTACCTATAAAACGAATAAGATAGAGGTAAGTTGGAGTACAAGAAGGTATAATTCCTTCTTCAAATTTATTACAGATGGCCTTTATATCAGTTTGTTGTGACTGATGGATTCGGAAGAGGGAGTACTGTTTTGTTTGCTCTTACTAGGAAAGAAACTTTTGAAGATATCAAGGAGATATTGGAGACGTCTAAGAGATTTATGATTGATACATCGAAAACACTAACATTCACTGTCGAATGTGCAGCTGCACAGATGAACGCTCTAAAGGAGGAATTGCCTAGGTGCAATATTGTTTTATGTCTTTTCCATGTATGTCAGACATTCAGAAGGAGGGTAAGTTTCATTCCCATTAACTAACATAGCGAAGGCAGTTCCCAAATCAGCTTATTAAAAAGTGGTTGTATCGAATGGCGCACACGCGCAGTTATTACAGGTAGGTTAACAAATCAGAGTATATTGCCAAAGGTTTTAGAGTTACCTAAACCTCATAAGTATTATAGACGCTGAGGCTGGTGCTTACATTAGAAGGTACTGGCTAGGAACACGCAAATATTGGGCTGCATCGTGGAACCGGTTCACCATCAGCATGGGGAACAATACTAACAACAGAGTTGAGAATGCTCATAGGCAGGTGAAAAGAAATCCACTTAGAGGTGACAGGCTGGAACTGACGCTAAGGAAAATTTGGAGGGGGATTGACCACACAACTATGCGTAAAATACGTCAGGGCCACTGGATGCTTTGTAGATATTACAATTATGATGTAAGTTTCAAGATAATTTACGATTTTTCCTAGGTGCAAACTTTTCTGCAGTCTATATTACGGCGTCTCACACCGTTTGCTGCCCAGAAAGTTATCTCAGACTTGCAAAGTCGCATCTTCTTCTTACATTCAATATCTTCCACCTCAGTTAATTACGCAGAAGGTGGTCACATCTTCTTTGTAAACAGGAATGAGGCGAAATGCATATGCTGGACATAGTGTGCGTACAATTTACCATGTGCACATGTCGTTGAGGCGTTTTTGAACTCATATCTAAACTGTGGTATGTTCCATTTACTTAATTGTTACTCTTAGATATTCTGAGAAATAGTGATAGGTGGACACGGCAGTATTACGCGAGAGACAACATTCCACGAGCCATCCGCTTAACACCGGAACCACACAAAGCGTTTCGAAATGCTTATGAACGTTTAAGATATCGTCTCAACAGTCTGAACCGAAGAAATCTGGATGCTGCACTGAGGGAAATAGCAGAGTTCACCAGAAAGTTGGACAGTTTGCTAGCAAATGAACCGCAAGCAACTTTAAGATTATGACGTGCCCCTGTTAATCGATTATTTTTGTAAAAATATTTGTATTACCTTATTGTTCCCATTTGTATTCATAATATAAACATGTATGTCTTAACTGCTGTTACACTTTCTTTACTTTCAAATACCTGAGAGCGACAGTTTAAAGCATACTTTGGTTGATTGTTTCGCTATGAGAGCGCTTTGGAAGTCACTTAGAAATTACACCGATCTGTGCCTTATTTACTACGTTTTTCAGCCGAGCATTTCTGGTTCATAGCATATCCTGGATAACAGTGATTAATACAATTTATCACTTAGACTGCACCACCACCAAGCTTACAACAGTTGTAAACTTTTTCTAACCTATTCATCGATAATGCCTTTTCATGGCAATTGAAGATCTTATTTACCCACTATGTTCTGAAATGACACTGGTCGTGCTTAAAAAGAGAGCTGGGTGCCGAATTAAAACTTTTCGCTCTGAAGTAACGCTAGTTCATGCTTAATATGTCCTGTGAGGGCTGGAACAACGCCGATGAGCTAACCCAGTAGGTTTGATTTAGTGCCACTCATGCTGAAAAACCAGCGCACAGTTTCACTGTCAAACAATGGCAGAACAGTTAGGCAGTTTACTTATTAAATTATGTTACTTTATTAGTATAGTATGCGTTAATTGGCTCAATGACTGCAGGTTTACTATAATCCTTGACTACCAACATAATAACTGGGAACTTCAGGCTAAAAATAAGCTTAATAGAAGCATTCATTGACAAAAACTGACTTACACACTGCAAAACGAGCAAAACATCCAAAAAAACCCTTAAAATTCAATGGAAAACGAATTCAAGAAAACATATAGCCAGCCGACGCAGGAACCTATCATCACCTTGAAACTCATATAGCCTCTTTCTAATTATTTCTGAATTATTACGTGAGGTGTTGATTGAAGAAGGCATAAGTAGGGTTGAGGAGGGATTAAGTATACTGACCTCGTGTTTAGCCACTACCCTGCCATCAGAACTAGTCTCTATTGGTATGCTTGTGAAATTTCGAGTCTGAATTATGATGGCACGCCAATCAGGTGGACACAACATTTACCATTCATTTCTAAAATCCCTGAATTATCATTGTTCTCTTGTGCTTCGATTGAGTGGAACATAGAGCATCAGCAGCACATCTCCATTACATCCTGTTCTCTTCAGTCTCTCTCAGTCGGCTACACTACTGCTCCACACAAGCCTTGATCTCAGCCTAACCTGAAGTATTCATTGTTCTTGTGGACGACATCCTCAGTGTTGCTTCCTATGTGTCCTTATGTAGTATTCACCCAATTCGTGATTGTAACATTCCTGTAGTTAGTAAATCATCAACCAAGAATTCGTCAACATCCTGTTCACCTAAATAAATAAATTACCACATGATCGGTTGTACGAACAGATAAATAGGTGAATAGTGGATCTCCCCCAACTCGCTTGTCGTAAGGATCATTGAGAAGTAGAGATATGATGGCTGTCTACCAAATCACCTTATCACTCAAATCTAGGGATTCCTACTGCATCTGGCTAGTGATTCCATCGCCTACTCATTACTGCATAAGTTGGATATGACTGCGTCCCGGTGTCCACTGAAATGAAGTTATCACACATTTGTTCTGTTACACAGTCGACAAGGTTGAGCGACGTGATCAGATGCACTGAGCGTATTATTCTATGTAGGTGTGGAATTCAGTCATACTGGTAGGACATCATTCCCTGATGAATAAGGCCTATTTGATGTGACACACAGTGACATATATGATAATGAGCAACACATTCTTCTCGAAATGTCATCCAGTTATCAACGCCGTATGTGACATTGTGGATCACATAACCTTCATGTTTTGTTGAAATATTGCATCAACTATTGTCTACCTATAAGTAGTATGAAGTGATCAGTGGAATTCACTCTGTGTATGATTTCGAGACCATCGTGATGTATGAATTCACGTTAACGACAGCTGAAATTTAACCATATTTCTGTTCCAGTAATCCTCTGCAATTGTTAGTAGGTCTCTCACTACAATGTAAGCACATTAGCGACCAGTGTCTGTGAGGAATCCGCGTGGTGGAAATCAACGTAAACAAGAAGTCCACTCCACTAAACCATGGAGTAAAATTGTAACATAATAATAGAAATCACCCCAATCCAGACAA